ATCAAAATTAAATTCCCATTTTATCCTTTTGAAAACTAGGGGTATTACAGAAATCTCGTGGAACTTTGGCCAGTTTAGCTATTCGGAAGTGGAAGATGCTTGAAAACCTGGCAGAGATGGGATTACGGTGTTTTGATGATGATGGTTACAGTGAGTCGGCATTCTTATTTAGTCTTGTGGCTCAGCCTACTCTTGTTGTACGAGTGATTGAGTCACAGAGACAGGACCCGGACTTAGATGCCATCCACGCTTTGATCTCTAGTGGTGAGACAATGAAAGATTGGGCCTTGTATGCAGATGGGGGTCTACGGTTCAGGGGTTTGTTGGTGGTTCCCACATGTTGTCGTAAGGACGTCTTACGGGAGTTTCACACTTCCCGCTTTGCAGTTCATCCAGGTGGTACTAAAATGTATCACAATTTGAGACATCAGTATTGGTGGAGCGGGATGAAGAATGATGTTGCACAGTTTGTGGCTAGATGCCTTACCTGTCAGCAGGTAAAGGCCAAGCATCAGAGGCCAGCAGGTTTGTTGCAACCATTACCTGTAGCGCAATGGAAATGGGAGCATATTGCTATGGATTTTGTGACAGGTTTTCTAAGGTCAAGAAGGGGCAATGAGGTCGTATGGGTCATCATTGACAGATTGACTAAGATGGCTCACTTTTTGCCTATTAAGGCAACAGATGATGCAGAGAAGCTTGGTGTTCTTTATGTGAAGGAGATTGTAAGGTTGCATGGAGTTCCTGTAACCATTGTGTCAGATAGGGATGCCAAATTCACTTCGAAGTTCTGGGAAGGACTTCAAGCAGCGTTTGGTTCAGCGTTGCATCTTAGTACGGCATTCCATCCACAGATAGACGGTCAGTCGGAACGTATTATCCAGATTTTGGAGGATATGCTTCGGGCATGTGTACTTGATTTGGGAGGTAGTTGGGAGGATCACCTTCCACTTATTGAGTTTGCCTACAACAACAGTTATCAGGCGAGTATCCAAATGGCTCCATTTGAGGCGTTGTATGGTAGACCTTGTAGGTCTCCTGTTTGTTGGACTGAGGAAGGTGAGACAGCCGCCTTAGGACCCGACATTGTACTCGAGACTACTAAGAAAATTAAGTTGATAAGACAGAGGTTACTTACAGCTCAAAGCCGACAGAAGAGCTATGCGGATAAGCGGAGACGACTGTTATCCTTTGAGGTGCGTTTTTCTACGGGTTTCTCCATGGAAGGGATTGATGAGATTCAGAAAAAGTGGCAAGTTGTCGCCATGATTTATTGGATCGTTTGAGATTTTGGACCGAGTAGGAGAGGTTACCTACAGGCTTGCTTTGCCACCACAATTGGATAGGGTCCACAATGTTTTCCATGTATCGATGTTACGGAAGTACGAGCCGGATCCATCTCACATTTTGAGTTGGGTTGATGTGGATATTGATGAGGATGTTTCCTACGAGGAAGGACCAGTTCAGATTCTTGACACACAACAGAAGGTGTTGAGGAACAAGACGATACCAATGGTGAAAGTCCTTTGGAGACACCACGGAGTCGAGGAAGCTACTTGGGAGCTTGAACAGGAGGTTCGCTCCAAGTATCCAAAGTTGTTTTCTTCCTCAAGTATGTCTTGATTTCGGGGACGAAATCTTTTAAAGTAGGGGAGAGTGTAATGTTTGTGCCTTTATATATATATATATGCCTGTGTGTGCGGTGTGGAAAAAAAAAAAAAAAAAGAAAAAAAAGAAAAAAAAGAAAAAGAAATTAGAAAAAGAGAGGTGGGACCCACGTCCCTTTTAAATGAATTAAGAGACCAAGTTAGTCTCTGTTTTTTTCCTCTCTCTTTCTCCCTACTGCTGCTCTCGGCTCCTTCTCTTTTTCCTTTTTTCTTTTTTTTTTCACTTCAAGCTTTAACCCTTGATTACTCTCTCAATCCTTGTCGGATTTAGGTGCCGTTTAAGGCAAAACGACGAGTGTGACAAGCTCTACGCGTTGATGCAAGCAATTTTCAGTTTTGAGCCTTCTTTGGAACTCGAAAATTTAGACCCATTTCTAGGGTTTTGGTGCAATCTTGAGGTAGGGGCATCTTAATCCACTCTCTTCTTGTTCCATTGTGAGTTATGCTCTTTTGTTGTGCTAGACATGCTAAATTTGAGAATTAATTGCTTCAATGAGGTGTAAATGATGTTTAGAAAAAATTCATGTCTTAGGGTTATGACTTGTCTATGTGAAAAGCATGTATAGATGATGGCTTTATGGTGTTTTTTTGTGAATTATACCTCTTTTATGTACTAACATGCTTTACTTGGGGATTAATTGTGTTAATGATTATTTTAATGTTGTCTAGAGAAATGTATGTTTATGCACATGTGATGTATTATGTGAAAAGCTTGCCTGTGTGTTGAGTTTATGTCTACTATGTGTAAATTTGCTGAAAGTGATGTATGAGACCATGCTTAATTGTATTGTGCCAAAATTTCACATTGTCATGATATTGAGATTATATGTACATTCTTGGACATGTCATTGGGATGCATGAAATGGGAGAATTTGTCTTGAAATGAAAATAAGGAATTTTTGGGAAATGATAGTTTTTGTGAAATGGTTTTGATAAACCCGATCGCTGCGGGGTTACCAACGGGCCGGAGGTTAATATAGCCTAGAGGGGACTAGGGAGTCGCCCTAGTGTGGTTGAGCTAGCTGGGCCCCATAATGACGCCGCGGGGTTACCAAGGGTCAGGGACACTAGCCAATCCTCCTCTCGTGTCGCGGCGGGGTTACCAAAGGGCGGGCTGTATTAACGTTTAAAAGTGATGGTTTTGAGAATGAAAATGGGGAGTGTCATTGACATGCATTGCATTTCATTGCATTGCATTGCATTATTTATAATTGGAATTGAATTGTATGTTGTATTTGATCCCCTACGTTGTATGATCCCTATCTCCCATTGGCCTATGCTTTGCTTGAATTCACAAGGACACAAGATTTGTGTCTTAAGTGTCACCTACTGAGCATATAGCTCACCCTACTATTTATACATTTTTTTCAAGTCTTGGAAAAGAACCGGTGAACGACAACCCACCTCAAGCTTGAGCGATACTAGAAGCTCACTTTTCTGTCTTTTGTATATCTCCCATTATTTTTGCAAAGCACTAAAAGTGTGAAGGTGTATATGCATATTTTGCAAAACTTTGTCATGTAATGTAATTAAGGTATTTAATGATATTTTGGATGTGAATTTGATAACATGTAAACCTTATTGATAAATGGGGAGAGTAATACTAGTTTGAAGTATTATTGAGGTCATTTGATTGTGTATTATCATCTACTATTGCCGTGAATTCGGAATTTGAGCCATGATAGGTTAAAAATGCAATTAAACAGGTTGTGATAGGCCTATTTTTAGGGGAGATCATGCCGAATTTTTTTTTTTGTTTAGAAAGTATTAGTTTTGAGTCGTTGAAGAACGCATGCCCCACTGAGCCCTTAACAGATCCTTGCCTGGATAAAAGTATATGCCACGTTGCATGGGAACAACCCCACCCTATGTCATGGAAGAAGGAAGATAACACAAATCTGGAATTGAAAAACAATCCCATGTTTTTTATGGGATTTTGAACAGAAATTGACCAAAAATTAATTATAATATAAAGAAGGTTACAAAATCCTAATAACAATATAATTTATTCTATAAAGCAATTTATTTAATTTATAGTTATTCAGACTGACCGATTAGCCCTTTTTTTTTTTTTTTTTTCTTAGCGTTGAATAGAAATCTAAATAGAAGAGTGGTAAGACGATAGGTTTTGGTCCTCTCCGAAAAAAACTCTTCCTTCCAATGGTGCAGGCTACTATCACAAAGATAAAACACCCTAGTATATAATATTTTTTAGAAAGTTACGTAATAATAATAATAATATTAATAATTTCTTAGGTCATAAAACTTCAAATTAAAGAGAAAAATTTAATTGTGCCAGGTTGTTTTATATACTGACACGTAGTAAATCAAAGGTACAGAGAAGTTTTTCTCCGAGTTACGCCACGAACATAGTTTAAGTTTTACTCAGTTCTGTGTGGAAGTGTCTTGCACGAATTCAGTGGATTAGTTGAGAATTCTGGACTTTTTATTAAAAAATAAATATAATAAAATAACTACATTAGGAATTTAGGATCAAGAAAAGTAGAATATCATATTTTCATTATAAAATAATAATTTTATTGGGCTCAGGTTTAAGTTGCTTTACATTGTTGCAGCTTGGTTTCGAGCCTTTTCCAAATCAAATGTATGATCATTTCTTTCAAGTACACCATTCTCATTTTCATGAATAAAATTATAGATATAGATATATTTTGCTCTGAATTTTTGGTATATTGAGACTTAGAAATTGGATATGGAATCTGAATCACAGAAACAGAAAAATTGTGTTTTTTGAGATATTTATGGTGGAGTCCCAAAGGAACTTGAGGTCAAAAAGGATAATCGGATGGGCCATCAGAGTGAGTAACCTTTTCTTTTTCTTTTTCCCTTTGTTTCAAATAAAAAACGAATCTCTCTCTCTCTCTCTCTTGCTTTTTTTATAGGCAAATCATAGTCTCAACTCTCATGTGATGATAGTCAATTGATTAACTGCTAATTGTTGCCAATGCTTACAATCTTTTCCCATCTGTGTTTGTTTGGTTGCTGAGAAAATATAGAAGGCAGCAGAAAATTTAGGGCCAGAGCTCATCGTCAGAGCACTTTCACCATAGTATAACTCAGATACATACACATACACATACAAATACACACACATACATATATACATATCACAGAAACACAAACTGTATTCTACCTCTTCATGGGTGGTGGCTTTGCGTCATACGAAAAGGACTTTTGCTAAAACATAACCATGTGGCGGAAAGTGATGTTGTTAATGAATAAAATGATAGCAAAAAGATTGGAAGAATGGTAGATAGATAGGAGATCGAGACGTTACAAACTCCAATTGTTGCCCTTGAATTCTATACATATACATGCCCATCAAGTCACACTTCTCATCCCAACTCACAAGCAAGACATTTGCAATTTGCATTCCCTGGTCATACCCCTGCCTCACCACCACTATTACACACCACCGCCACCACCGGAATGGATAAAGGCCACATCCTTCTTGTAACTTTTCCGGGACAAGGCCACATCAATCCGTCCCTCCAATTCGCCAAACGCCTGGTGGCAAGGGGTGTCAAAGTTACGTTTGCCACCACCCTCTCCGCCATCCGGCGAATGAACAAAACCACTCCAACCCCACATGGTTTAACCCTAGTCCCTTTCTCCGATGGCTACGATAACGGCTTTAAAGCTGAGGAAATCAAAGAAGTCACGTCCGCAATCCGTTTTCACGGTTCTCGAGCAGTTGCGAATCTCATCAATGCCAGCGCAGACGAAGGCCGTCCCATCACACGTGTGGTCTACACCACATATATCCCATGGGTGGCAGAAGTGACACATAACCTTCACGTACCATCCACGCTTCTTTGGATCCAACCAGCAGCTATTTTGGACATCTTCTACTATTACTTCAATGGGTATGCGGATGTTATTAGAAAAAGGAGCCGTGACCCTTTTTGTGCCATTGAATTGCCAGGACTTCCACTGCTCACTAGCCGTGACATTCCTTCCTTTCTACTCCATTCAGATCCCTACAATTTTGAACTGCTAGAATTCAAAAAGCACGTAGAGATACTTGATGCCGAACCAAATCCACAAGTACTAGTAAACACAATCGATGCTTTGGAATCCAATACTCTACGAGCTATCAAGAAGCTCAACATGATTCCAATTGGGCCGTTAATCCCATCAGCTTTTTTGGATGGAAAAGATCCATCTGATACTTCAAATGAAGGTGATATGTTTCAGAAGTCAACGGAGTATGTAGAATGGTTGAACTCAAAGCCAGAATCCTCTGTTGTTTATCTATCATTCGGAAGCATTTCCGTGCTATCAGAGAAACAAAGGGAAGAGATGGCACACGGGTTGTTGGAAAGCCAAAGACCATTCTTGTGGGTGGTAAGAAAAACTGATCAATATGGTGAGAATGTAGAAAACGAAATAAGTTGCATGGAGGAATTGGAAAAGCAGGGGATGATTGTGCCATGGTGTTCTCAGGTGGAGGTTCTGTCACACCCTTCATTGGGATGTTTTGTGACGCATTGCGGGTGGAATTCTACATTGGAAAGTTTGGTTTTTGGGGTTCCAATGGTGGCATTTCCGGGACGGATGGAGCAGGAGACTAACGCAAAACTGATCACACATGTTTGGGAGACGGGGGTGAGGGTGACGGTAAATGAAGAAAGAATAGCTGAGAGGGAGGAGTTTAAGAGGTGCATAGAAATGGTGATGGGGGATGGAGAAAAAGGGAAAGAAATGAGAGGAAATGCCAAGAAATGGAAGGAATTGGCTAGGGAAGCTGTGAAAGAAGGTGGGTCTTCGGACATGAATCTCAAAGCTTTTGTGAGTGAGGTCGGAAATTAAAAGCTTGTTTGGTAGCAAGAAATTTGTTCTTGATTGAATCTTCCTTCTTGTTCACTTTTTGTTTTACTTTTTGCTTCGTTGTCACATTTTGTAATTCTAAAAGATGATGTATTTTTATTTTTATTTTTATTTTTATTTTTATTTTCGGTAATTTGAAATAAATAAATAAATAATGTATTTGGTAATCCTTAGAATGAATTAAAGAAGAAGGGTTTGTTTGTAACATGAATTGGCTTGATTTTCATATTTACATATATGTATAAATATAGAGATTTTAAATGTAGAGATAAAGAGAACATTGTTGTGTAGCTCGGATGACAACGTGTGCATTCTACTATTAGTCCCTTGAACGCTGATGTTTTTCATCATGTTTTGCCATTTGTTTGAACTTATTTTCTCATTGACATTACATGACATTGTCCTGTTGATTTTCAAAATTGGTTTTCTCGAACAAAAGAATTATCACAAACATGTGGCTATATTTTTGTAGACACGAACAGCCGAATCAAATCATTTTGAAGTCGAAATGGGTGGTATTGGTCAAGAGATAGTAAAATTAGTGACAGAAATTTTATTAATTAAGTAAAAAATTTCAATGATTTATAGAACATAAACTCTGCCTAAGAGCAAAATTCCCTATTCAGGGCATGGTATTGACTCAGCCACAAATTTAATGTGACTCATACTAAAATTCTTACCAAACTGTCTTTCGAATCTAGCTACCATTCTTCTAATCTTCTTGTTGTACGAGGATGTCTTCGTAACAACTTTCCGCTGCTTAGCTAAGTTTTAGCGTCCTTTTCCTATGACCTGTAATATCCCTAATTTTAAAAGAATAGTCTCGGCATTTTAATTATGGTTTTATTGCATTTTTGTTTGATTACTTGCTTATTTGTTTAATTGTTTTATTATTTATTTGATTTAATTGTTTAATTGTGTATTTAATTACATTTTTTTGGTTAATTGGTTATTTAATTGAATTAATTGATTAATGGTATTTTTATTTTCTTTATTTGATTTAATTGTTTAAGTATGTAATAAATTGTATTAAATAAGTTAATTGTATTAAATTAGGGTTTTATTAATGTTTAAAATAGGGTTGTTCTTTTGTGATTCACGTATTTGGGCCCACTAGGTTTTAGATAGGTTTGCCGTCTCTAATTACAAGTAGACTTAGATTTTATATTTGCCTATATATATATACTGTTATAAGTTTGCAAAGGGGTTTTTATAACCCTATTCACATACAGAGATATAGAGAGAAACATAGAGCGAATTGTGAGAGAAACAGAGCAATTTTCGTTAGGGTTTCGGCTGTGGATTAAAGGACAGACCTAGGAGGAGGGAAGGTTGAGCAGTAGAGGGTTGACAGTGAACGGACGTCATCGGAAAACTTAGGAAGACGACGACGAGGTTTTGATTTAAAACCACACAGGTAAGTTTTATTCTTTCTCTCTCCCCTGGACCTGTGTTCTGTGCATACCTAAATAATCTCTAGGAGGTTAATTGGACATTAAATGAGTCTTGCATGTTTAGTATATGTTAGATTATTTGCCTGTATGTGTTTAATTTTATTTGGAACTGTTGTTGCAAAATTGGATTTTATCGTCGGGCCTTAAAGCATAATGAATCGGTAACTATTTTCGTGATTGTTTTTAATACATACTGATTTAAATAAAGGACTGGGATGTTACTGGATATACTTTAGACTCTTAGGTTTAGTTTTAATGAAGAACAAAAGAGTTGGATGTCACGCCCCGACAGGTTCAATAAAATCCTCCATTTATTTAGATACAAATACATCAAAATACACCCAGGATCATAAAAATTGCCCCCTCTTTTATACAAAATTAATTTCCTCAAATATACAAAAAAATCTCCAAAATAAATAAAATAAATCCTCCACGCCGACTCTTCATCCTAAGCCCGTCTCTAGCAATCCCCGTTCGTCTTCGGTACCTAAAATTGAAGGGTGGTGGGACAAAAGTCCCAGTAGGAAAAACCATAACAAGAATCTCACGGAGGTTTAATAAAACAGTTTCACAAAATAAACATATACAAGTGAGTATAAACAAAATAAATATGCATTTAATCAAAACATTTCATAAAACATTTAATCAAAACCTCCCCATGCCATTCAAGGCATAGAGAACCCTACACTGAAAAAGAATTCATGCACTGGATCATCGAGCCACCAAGTTTTCGGCCTCCCCCTGCAACTCTCGGCCCTCTCAGTTTTTCCTCACCCTCACTCTCTGTTTTTCCCTCGGCTCACTTTCTAATTTTTCTTTCTGTTTTTGCATACAAACCAAATCATAAACACCCAATATATAAGCAATCCACCGACCTCAAACCAGCTAACAGAACCACGTGCACAATTCAAAGCTAAAAGAAAATTGCCCAAGTCAAAAAGTAGTCTGCCAAATCTCATAATTACTTTTTAATACAAATTCTTCACTCCATCAGAACCCACGTTAAGGAAAGAAAATCAAAGAGCAATCAGTGGGCCCTGCGACTACATAATTACAATTACCCTTCACCTCCTTTCTTCTCAGCCGTCCACTTGCCTCCTTATCCCTTCATACAAATTATATATATCTAAATAATATAAAAAGATGCAACAAAAAAAAATAAAAAATAAAAAATAAAACAAAACAAAACTCTTTCTCAAGTGGGACCACAGAATCATTACACCTTTTCCATCTTTCCTTGTCTTCTTTTCACCAGTTCGTCCAGAAGCTTCTCATTTCCATCATAATACACAATATAAATATACATATGACTTGGTCAAAAGCAAAAAGGCTAAAGTCATCCTTATATCACCAAACCAAAATCACCTTTCCATTCGGCAGCTCCCCTTTATTTATATATATATAAATAACAAAACCAAACCACCCATTAAAATCATTAAGTGAGTAAAATTAAATCATAAAATAAATTCAAATAAAATCCTAAAAAAATTCGAGTTATCACATTGGAAGTGGCCGGAGATGAAGTAGAAGGGTAGAAAAGGTTCAGAGCTCTAAAAAAGGGAGAAAGCCGGCTCCATGGAAATGGGAGCCGGCTCCCTCTTGTGCAGAGCCGGCTCCAGGTGATGGGGAGCCGGCTCCCTTCTTCCTAAAGCCGGCTCCAAGGCTTAGGGAGCCGGCTCCATGTGTAATTGAGCCTGCTCTCAAGTTTTGAGAGTAGGCTCCCTTGTTTGATGTATTCTGGAGGTGTTTTGGGGCACTGTTTGGATAAGTTTGGGCTTCCGAACTGTTGTGGGATTTTAAATGAGGGTTCTAATAATTATTTCATGGTGTATTAAAACCCTCGGATTCATAATGTACATTTATACGCTAATAAAGTAAACGGTATGAAAGTTTAAATAATTGTGCATACCGTTAACGGATATAAGAGATTTAATTGCTTAACTTTAATTTAGCAATTTAATGGACAATAGCATGATTATAAATCTTGTTTTGGATGCACAATAGGGTCAGTTATTTATCAGACTTGATCTATGTTTACTCTGGATGCTAATTGCTGAAATAATAAACTCTATTCTGCAATTATATGGATTAATGTTTTGGTTACTAATTGCTGAACTATTAAACTAGTTTTTGTCAATTATATGGATTAATGTGTTGAACTTTAGTTGCTGAATTTATATTAAATTCTGTCAATTACTTGGATGTTATGGATTGTATACACCGGTATGGGACGGTAGCATACTAGGGATGGTTTAGCTCAAAACAATAAGACCTACCTTATTGGAATACGGGAATGGATTGTAAAATATTGAATTCTACTTATATTTAAATCAGATCAACTAAGTAAGTTGAGTGACTACCTGGATTAATTATTATTTGTAGTTAAGTCAGATCAACTGAATAAGTTGAGTGACTAACCAGATTATAAATCTTATCTCAGATCAATGAATAATTGAATGACATACTCTGGTTTTGGATAGACTTTAAATATATAATTATGGTACCATGATATGAGCTTGAGTCTCAAGATCGTTGGTTAGGGAGTGTAGATGCATTGGGATACATGGCTGGTTATGACGGTTGTGGTGTACCCTGTTAGGTTTAGGTACTCATGCCCACCTTTGGGTGCGTTTCACATGTTGTCTTCTATTCAGGTTGAGACCCCTTTCTAGTCCAGTGAGTGTCCCTCAGTGTGGATATATATTTATATATTTATGGACTAGTTAGTTATTGTTAAGATATCTAGGATGTATCTGCGTATCGGGTCACTGTATGGATTGCAGTTAGAATAGAACTTATTCGTGGGTCTGACCCACTCTTATATTTTTCAGGTATAGAACAGTTCCAGTCTTAGGGCTTGTTTGGGCTGAGTAAAGACGGTCATTCACTCTACCGACGACCTAGGATTTCATTCCATGTTTTAGATTTAGATTTTATCTTCAGTTGTTTACTTTTCAGTTGAGATTTTGTTTAGGGGTCTACTAGATGGATTCCCGAGCTGTACTCTTGGAGGTTTTGGAGAGTTGGATTATTTTAATTTTTAAAGTTTGAGGATTTTATATTAATTAATTCTTTCAGTTCTATTATTTCTTTCTTAAATCCTTTCGTATTCCTGCTTATTTATCTATTAATTGTTTAGTATTCCCTCGGGTTTGGGCTAGGGCCTGATCAACCCATGTCTCGGAGTCGAGGGGTATCACATGACCTAAAGCCAAAGTTTTATACTACATATTTATCTCTACAGAAATGTGACTCATCAGCATTCATTTTATTTTATTTTTTATTTTTTTTCCCGAAGGTAAATGTGTTATATATATATATATATATATATATATATATATATATATATGAAGAAAGATTGTTCAAGAGACCATTACTAGCCCAATCCAAACAATACACAACAGGTAGAGAAAGCCCAACATTGGCCCAAAGACATTCTACACCAATTACATCCGGTTCACAGAGGCGACATCACTCAGCAAAAACGCAGAGCATGGCTTTGGTTATATAAATTGCTATCAATCATGGAAAGTTCTAGTTTCATTTAGAAGATTGAAGTGGTAATTTTTTAACTGTTATATAAATTGCTGTTGGCTAGGCTTCATGTTAATGCCATCACATGCCTCTCAAGACTTGTATATAGCTCGCTGCTATCAGTGCTGTCAAAGGCGTTCGCCTAGGCACAATACATTTTTATTTTTATTTATTTATTTATTTAAGTTAAAGGGTAAGCATGTATAGAATAAAAGGAGA